CATCTAGGAGTATCATCCGATCCTGTGGTGGCATCTTCTTTATAGACCACATCTAAGAGTATCATCCGATCCTGTGGTGGCATCTTCTTTATAGACCACATCTAGGAGTATCATCCGATCCAATGGTGGCATCTTCTTTACAGACCACATCTAGGAGCATCATCCGATCCGATGGTGGCATCTTCTTTATAGACCACATCTAGGAGTATCGTCCGATCTGATGGTGGCATCTTCTTTATAGACCACATCTAGGAGTATCATCCGATCCTGTGGTGGCATCTTCTTTATAGACCACATCTAGGAGTATCGTCCGATCCGATGGTGGCATCTTCTTTATAGACCACATCTAGGAGTATCGTCCGATCCGATGGTGGCATCTTCTTTATAGACCACATCTAGGAGTATCGTCCGATCCGATGGTGGCATCTTCTTTATAGACCACATCTAGGAGTATCATCCGATCCTGTGGTGGCATCTTCTTTATAGACCACATCTAGGAGTATCATCCGATCATCTGATGGTGGCATCTTCTTTATAGACCACATCTAGGAGTATCATCCGATCCTGTGGTGGCATCTTCTTCTTAGACCACATCTAGAGATCCTGTGGTGGCATCTTCATCTTTATAGACCACATCTAGGAGTATCATCCGATCCGATGGTGGCATCTTCTTTATAGACCACACATCTAGGAGTATCATCCGATCCGATGGTGGCATCTTCTTTATAGACCACATCTAGGAGTATCATCGATCCTGTGGTGGCATCTTCTTTATAGACCACATCTAGGAGTATCATCCGATCCTGATGGTGGCATCTTCTTTATAGACCACATCTAGGAGTATCATCCGATCCGATGGTGGCATCTCTTCTTTATAGACCACATCTAGGAGTATCATCCGATCCGATGGTGGCATCTTCTTTATAGACCACATCTAGGAGTATCATCCGATCCGATGGTGGCATCTTCTTTATAGACCACATCTAGGAGTATCATCCGATCCGATGGTGGCATCTTCTTTATAGACCACATCTAGGAGTATCATCCGATCCGTGGTGGCATCTTCTTTATAGACCACATCTAGGAGTATCATCCGATCCTGTGGTGGCATCTTCTTTATAGACCACATCTAGGAGTATCATCCGATCCGATGGTGGCATCTTCTTTATAGACCAATCTAGGAGTATCATCCGATCCTGTGGTGGCATCTTCTTTATAGACCACATCTAGGAGTATTGTCCGATCCTGATGGTGGCATCTTCTTTATAGACCACATCTAGGAGTATCATCCGATCCTGATGGTGGCATCTTCTTTATAGACCACATCTAGGAGTATCATCCGATCCTGTGGTGGCATCTTCTTTATAGACCACATCTAGGAGTATCATCCGATCCTGTGGTGGCATCTTCTTTATAGACCACATCTAGGAGTATCATCCGATCCTGTGGTGGCATCTTCTTTATAGACCACATCTAGGAGTATCATCCGATCCCGTGGTGGCATCTTCTTTATAGACCACATCTAGGAGTATCATCCGATCCGATGGTGGCATCTTCTTTATAGACCACATCTAGGAGTATCGTCCGATCCTGTGGTGGCATCTTCTTTATAGACCACATCTAGGAGTATCATCCGATCCGATGGTGGCATCTTCTTTATAGACCACATCTAGAGTATCATCCGATCCGATGGTGGCATCTTCTTTATAGACCACATCTAGGAGTATCATCCGATCCTGATGGTGGCATCTTCTTTATAGACCACATCTAGGAGTATCATCCGATCCTGTGGTGGCATCTTCTTTATAGACCACATCTAGGAGTATCATCCGATCCGATGGTGGCATCTTCTTTATAGACCACATCTAGGAGTATCGTCCGATCCGATGGTGGCATCTTCTTTATAGACCACATCTAGGAGTATCATCCGATCCGATGGTGGCATCTTCTTTATAGACCACATCTAGGAGTATCATCCGATCCGATGGTGGCATCTTCTTTATAGACCACATCTAGGAGTATCATCCGATCCTGTGGTGGCATCTTCTTTATAGACCACATCTAGGAGTATCATCCGATCCTGTGGTGGCATCTTCTTTATAGACCACATCTAGGAGTATCATCCGATCCTGTGGTGGCATCTTCTTTATAGACCACATCTAGGAGTATCGTCCGATCCGATGGTGGCATCTTCTTTATAGACCACATCTAGGAGTATCATCCGATAGGAGTATCTCCGATCACATCTAGGAGTATCATCCGATCCGTGGTGGCATCTTCTTTATAGACCACATCTAGGAGTATCATCCGATCCGATGGTGGCATCTTCTTTATAGACCACATCTAGGAGTATCATCCGATCCTGTGGTGGCATCTTCTTTATAGACCACATCTAGGAGTATCATCCGATCCTGTGGTGGCATCTTCTTTATAGACCACATCTAGGAGTATCATCCGATCCGATGGTGGCATCTTCTTTATAGACCACATCTAGGAGTATCATCCGATCTGTGGTGGCATCTTCTTTATAGACCACATCTAGGAGTATCATCCGATCCTGTGGTGGCATCTTCTTTATAGACCACATCTAGGAGTATCATCCGATCCGATGGTGGCATCTTCTTTATAGACCACATCTAGGAGTATCGTCCGATCCTGTGGTGGCATCTTCTTTATAGACCACATCTAGGAGTATCATCCGATCCGATGGTGGCATCTTCTTTATAGACCACATCTAGGAGTATCATCCGATCCTGTGGTGGCATCTTCTTTATAGACCACATCTAGGAGTATCATCCGATCCTGTGGTGGCATCTTCTTTATAGACCACATCTAGGAGTATCATCCGATCCTGTGGTGGCATCTTCTTTATAGAGACCACATCTAGGAGTATCATCCGATCCTGTGGTGGCATCTTCTTTATAGACCACATCTAGGAGTATCATCCGATCCTGTGGTGGCATCTTCTTTATAGACCACATCTAGGAGTATCATCCGATCCTGTGGTGGCATCTTCTTTATAGACCACATCTAGGAGTATCGTCCGATCCGATGTGGTGGCATCTTCTTTATAGACCACATCTAGGAGTATCGTCCGATCCTGTGGTGGCATCTTCTTTATAGACCACATCTAGGAGTATCATCCGATCCTGTGGTGGGCATCTTCTTTATAGACCACATCTAGAGTATCATCCGATCCGATGGTGGCATCTTCTTTATAGACCACATCTAGGAGTATCGTCCGATCCGATGGTGGCATCTTCTTTATAGACCACATCTAGGAGTATCATCCGATCCGATGGTGGCATCTTCTTTATAGACCACATCTAGGAGTATCATCGATCCGATGGTGGCATCTTCTTTACAGACCACATCTAGGAGAGTATCATCCGATCCTGTGGTGGCATCTTCTTTATAGACCACATCTAGGAGTATCGTCCGATCCGATGGTGGCATCTTCTTATAGACCACTGTTGGAATAAAGCCATCTAGGAGGATCGTTCTCGATAGACAGCATGATGAGGGGCATCTTCTTTATAGACCACATTTGAGGAGTAGGTCCGATCCGATGGGGCATCTTCAGCAGACCACATCTACGGGAGTATCATCAGTGACTGGTGGCATCGGGACTCCAGACCACATCTAGGAGTATATCGTCCGATCCGAAATATAAATTGGCATCTTCTTTCAGACCACATCAGGAGTATCATCCGGGGTCCTGTGGTGGGATTTATAGACCACATCTAGGAGTATCATCCGATCCTGTGGTGGCATCTTCTTTATAGACCACATCTAGGAGTATCGTCCGATCCGATGGTGGCATCTTCTTTATAGACCACATCTAGGAGTATCATCCGATCCTGATGGTGGCATCTTCTTTATAGACCACATCTAGGAGTATCGTCCGATCCGATGGTGGCATCTTCTTTATAGACCACATCTAGGAGTATCATCCGATCCTGTGGTGGCATCTTCTTTATAGACCACATCTAGGAGTATCCGGTCCGATCCTGTGGTGGCATCTTCTTTGAATGAGACCACATCTACGGGGGGGGGGGAGTATCATCCCTGTGGTGGCATCTTCTTTATAGACCACATCTAGGAGTATCATCCGATCCGTGGTGGATCTTCTTTATGAAGGGTCCGGGGACAGCGGAGTATCAGTGATATTGTGAATGTGGTCCGGGAGAGATCTAGGGTATCATGCGGGATCCTGTGGTGGCATCTTCTTTATAGACCACATCTAGGAGTATCGGAATCCGATCCGATGGTGGCATATTCTTTATAGACCACATCTAGGAGTATCATCCGATCCGGGTGGTGGCATCTTCTTTATAGACCACATCTAGGAGTATAGTGAATCCGATCCTGTGGTGGCATCTAGTCTTTTACAGACCACATCTAGGAGTATCATCGGATCCTGGGAGAGTGGCATCTTCTTTATAGACCACATCTAGGAGTATCATCCGAATGTGGTGGCATCTTCTTTACAGACCACATCTAGTGAGTATGCGGGATCCGTGGAGAGCGGATATTCTTTATAGGTCTAGGGAGAGCATATCCTGTGGTGGATATGCGGGGTCCGGGGAGAGCGGATACGGGATCCGATCCTGTGGTGGAGCGGATTTATAGACCACATCTAGGAGTATCATCCGATATGGGGGCATGCTTCTTGGGGAGATCTAGGATATGGTGAATGCGGATATGGTGAATGCGGCTCTATGTGGGGTCCAGGATAGATCATAAGGAGAATGCGGGGTCCGGGGAGAGAGGATATGGTGACAGACCAACATCTAGGGGGTCCTGTGGAGGCGGATATAGTGAATGCAGACAGCATCTAGGAGTATCGTCCGATATGAATGGGGGTCCATCTTCTATGGTGAAGCACATCTAGGAGTCACATATAGTGAATCCATCCTGGGAGAGCTGGATATATAGGGAATGGCGGGGTCTGTTCTCTATAGCGGATATAGAGGAATGTGGGGTGAGGTGGAGAGCGGATTGTGAATAACACGGGGCAGAAGGCTCTACATACAGGGGACGGGACTGAGAGGACTAGTGAATATCAGGGGTCCGGGAGAGCGGATATAAATTGAATGCGGGGTCCGGGGAGAGCGGATATGGTGAATGGGGGTCCGGGGAGAGCGGATATGGTGAATGCGGGGTCCGGGGAATATGGCATACGCATGCGGGGTCCGGGGAGAGCGGATATACGGAATGAGGGGTCCGGGGAGAGCGGCGGTGAATGCGGGGTCCGGGGAGTCGTGGGATATCAGTGAATGCGGGGTCCGGGGAGAGCGGATATACGGAATGAGGGGGTCCGGGGGAGAGCGGATGAGAGCGGATATGATACGGAATACGGAATGAGGGGTCCGGGGGAGAGCGGATATGGGAATGAGAGGGCCCCTTGGGAGAGCGGATATAGTGAATGCGGGGGGGAGGGAGAGCGGATATAGGGAATGACGGGGTCCGGTGAGAGCGGATATACGGAATGCGGGGTCCGGGGAGAGCGGATATGATGAATGGGGGTCCGGGGGGAGAGCGGATATATGAATGCGGGGTCCGGGGAGAGCGGATATAGTGAATGCGGGGTCCGGGGAGAGAGCGGATATAGTGAATGAGGGGTCCGGGGAGAGCGGATATAGTGAATGCGGGGTCCGGGAGAGCGGATATAGTGAATGCGGGGTCGGGGAGAGCGGATATAGGAATGCGGGGTCCGGGGAGAGCGGATATAGTGAATGCGGGGTCCGGGGAGAGCGGATATAAGTGAATGCGGGGTCCGGGGAGAGCGGATATGGTGAATGTGGGTCCTGGGAGAGCGGATATAGTGAATGCGGGGTCCGGGGAGACCGGATATAGTGAATGCGGGGTCCGGGGAGAGCGGATATAGTGAATGCGGGGTCCGGGGAGAGCGGATATAGTGAATGCGGGTCGGGGAGAGGGGATACAGTGAATGCGGGGTCCGGGGAGAGCGGATACAGTGAATGCGGGGTCCGGGGAGAGCGGATATAGTGAATGCGGGGGTCCGGGGAGAGCGGATATAGTGAATGCGGGGTCCGGGGAGAGCGGATACAGTGAATGCGGGGTCCGGGGAGAGCGGATACAGTGAATGCGGGGTCCGGGGAGAGCGGATATAGTGAATGCGGGGTCCGGGGAGAGCGGATATAGTGAATGCGGGGTCCGGGGAGAGCGGATACGGTGAATGCGGGGTCCGGGGAGAGCGGATACGGTGAATGCGGGGTCCGGGGAGAGCGGATACGGTGAATGCGGGGTCCGGGGAGAGCGGATACGGTGAATGCGGGGTCCGGGGAGAGGGGGATATAGTGAATGCGGGGTCCGGGGAGGGCGGATACGGTGAATGCGGGGTCCGGGGAGAGCGGATACGGTGAATGCCGGGCGTACCGGCTCCGGGGATACGGTGAATGCACTGGCGTACCGGCTCCTCCCCTCCGGTCTTGCACTGGCGTACCGGCTCCTCCCCTCCGGTCTTGCACTGGCGTATCGGCTCCTCCCCTCCGGTCTTGCACTGGCGTACCGGCTCCTCCCCTCCGGTCTTGCACTGGCGTACCGGCTCCTCCCCTCCGGTCTTGCACTGGCGTACCGGCTCCTCCCCTCCGTCTTGCACTGGCGTACCGGCTCCTCCCCTCCGGTCTTGCACTGGCGTACCGGCTCCTCCCCTCCGGTCTTGCACTGGCGTACCGGGCTCCTCCCCTCCGGTCTTGCACTGGCGTACCGGCTCCTCCCCCGGTCTTGCACTGGCGTACCGGCTCCTCCCCTCCGGTCTTGCACTGGCGTACCGGCTCCTCCCCTCCGGTCTTGCACTGGCGTACCGGCTCCTCCCCTTCCAGTCCTACATCATCTAGCCTTCCACTCCCCAGTCTGACTGTCCCTGGCCCCGCCCCTTTACTTATTGGATTTTAGTCCTTTCATTCATGGAGTTGCAGCATCACATGTCAGTGTTATCTAGGGTGGTCTGCATGCAAATACAGCCTGCCTAGGACCACCCACTCCTCCAGACTGACACCCATCCAGAGGAGTACTAGGGCTTGGTGCTGCAATGTTTTCAGGAAGCTCTGTACAGCACCCTGTTGGACCCTCCCACCAGCCATGATCTGCCTGCATTCCATACAGAAGCACAGAGACCCAGTGATGTCATAGTGACGTATGTAATGAAAATGGAAAGGTTTTTTTTTTTACGTGTCCTTTGATGATGGGGGAGGGGGAACCAGGGCAGGTGAAATATAAGCAGATTAAACTTCAGCTTCAGAGATTATTTCAGTGTAATGTATTCGTAATGTCATTGCTGCTGCTTGTCAGTGGGAGGATTGTACATTTCCCTGAGCTCAGCGATCTCACCAAGTAACTGTCCTTCCCTTGTAGGTGGACGGAGTACAGCGCCGTGGGCAAGCGGATTCCTGGAACGCGGTTCATTGCTTTTAAGGTTCCGTTGCAAAAAGTAGGTAGGCCGTATATATAAGTGGTTATACCAGGATCATGGTTGCAGCTACAGCCACGATTCAGTTTTTTTCTGGTGATTCCAATGCGCTCAATCGCTTTTACACGCGGCGGAAGGGGGTCCCACCCTCCTGTCACTGCCGCCTTTGCCTAGCTCTCCCATCCCAACATGGAGATCTGTAACGATGCAACTGCTGTGAAGAGTGGAAGGAATGGAAGTTCCCGCCCCTTTTCTGTGATGTCAGAAGGTGAAGAGATCTCATCACTTTCAGCTTTGGTTTGTTTCATTGCCGGCTGGTACAGCATCTGATCAATCTGATCTTGGTTTGATCTGCCGTTTGGAGGCCAGAGGAGAGATGTCCATAAAGAGGACCTCTCACAGGACTTGCTCTCACAAAAGAATATTGTTTTCCCCTTGTGAAAGCAAAAAAACATAAAGGTACAGTGTGTAACATTTTACATAAAATGAAGAAAAAAATGTTAAAGCCCCCCCCCCATGCTCACATGCAAATGCTAAAACGCATGTAGGTCCCACACGCATACAGTATGTAAACAGCAATCGCACCACACGTGAGGTATTGCTGCGAATGTCAGAGCGAGAGCAATAATTCTGACCTTCTGTGTAACGACAAACTGGTGACCTGGGAAGGCTATTAAAGCACCACCTAGGAATGTACCGCAGACTCACCAATCCACGGGAGTGCACAATTTTAAAGTGTGACATGTTAGGTATCTACTTGACGTAAAATCTTATATATTACCAAAAATTGGGTATTGTTTGTGTTCACTAAAATTCATTAAAGTGTTTTTTTTTTTAAATTTGCATTTGAAAGACCACTGCGCAAATATCGTGCGACAAACAATTTTAACGCCCTCAATTTTATTCTCTAGAGCCTCTACTTAAAAAAAAAAAAAAAATAGAATTTTTGGGGGTTCTAAGTAAATTTTTTAACAAAGCAGATATTTTTGTATGAGATAAATGTCAGAATTGTCCCGACAATTGGTTAATGTGTGATTTTTTTTTTTTTGTTTTGTTTTGGAAGAGACTGATTATTCCTGTTCCTTTCCAGATATTTGACCGCAAGCTGGCAACTGGGCAGAGGTTCTCACCTACCAACCTTATCATTGAAATTAAGAAGCAGAATGAGGAGCTGGGACTTGTTGTGGATCTGACGTGTACCAAGCGGTACTATACGCCAATGGTAGGTACATCCAGAGAACCTTGTGTAGTAAGAGAAGCCTGGACTGACCACCTAAAAATGCTGCTTTCCTGGCCATCTCTGGCCTCGTCACCTTTCTTAGTCATGGTATGTCTATGGATTCCTTGCAGTACAATTCATTTTAAATGTGAACTGTAGGGATACACCGATGCCGTTTTTGTTTAACACTGAGTACGAGTAACAACACTTTTTTAAAAGTAATCACTGACACCAGTTACTGACACCTATTGCCTTCTAAAGGTAAGTGGAAAAGGAGCTGTGGGGAAATGAGACTGTTTGGGGTTGGATGGTTGGGATGTGTGGTTGAGGGATGGGATAGGTAGACAGAGCTGGAAGCTGATCTGACTGCTGGGGGAAGGGGGGGAGGTTGGAAAGTAGCTTGGTGGTAGAAGGGTACCTTTAAGCTGTACAGTGAGGTACAAAAGATGGACGAATGTGACTAAACCAGGAGTAGAATAGATGGTAGTGAGAGGTGATAGGAGAGTAAGATAATGACAGGAATGTTTGGATTGGAGATTTTACTGTGCGCAGGGGAAAGGGAGGGGGGAGTAAACTAAATGGGTAAGGAGTGGTGACAGTAAGATGAGAGCAGAGCACCCATAAGAAATATTGGGGCCCCTTACACAGCTTTAAGCCTGGACCCACCTGGGCCTGACCAGCAACATTCCCCAGGACCCACCCATTGACCATCCTACCAAAGCCACCCACTGGCCTATCCATCTCATCTCATTCAACCCACGTCCTCCTCCAGTTCCATCATCCACATACCATGTTCTCCTCCTCCATCCCGTATTCTCCTCCTCCATCTCACATTCTCCTCCTCTGGCCCTATCTCCTCCATCCCAGGAAAATACAGGTGAACAATTGTAATATATGCTGCCCCTCTTGTCCAGGTGTGACAATGAGGCCGCACAAGCCCCCTGAAGCTATGCCCACAGTCCGGTCTGAATAATGTACATAGAATAAACCACAACCACCTACAAAAATTATAGTCCATTTGGCCGTACAGTATATCCTTCCACGCTGGAAGTAGACAATAAATATAAACAGTTTCCGGTCACCATGGATATAAACCGTGTCTGTCACCATGGATATAAACCGTGTCTGTCACCATGGATATAAACCGTGTCTGTCACCATGGATATAAACCGTGGTCTGTCTGTCACCATGGATATAAACCGTGTCTGTCACCATGGATATAAACCGTGTCTGTCACCATGGATATAAACCGTGTCTGTCACCATGGATATAAACCGTGTCTGTCACCATGGATATAAACCGTGTCTGTCACCATGGATATTAAAACCAAATAACCCCCAATGTTCAATATAATGTTGCTTTTTCAATATAAATCCATGCACCCTAATAAAATCTTCATATAATCCACCAGTACTTAGTGCTCCATCAATTCTTTGTGTTCATCACACCAATACATTGTCTTCTATTCATAGCACTTCAACTGTTGTGAATCTTTATTAAAAGCGCTGACATCAATTGCCTAGTATATGCAGCTTTAAAAACAGCCTAATAGCTCACTATCTCCTTATGGCAGTCTGGACCTCATCCAAGATGGCCGCTGCGGTACTTGTGGTAATGTCTAAATTCCTTTCTGACGCGTTTCATCATCACGACTTTATCAAAGATTCACAACACTTTTAAGAAGGTTTTGCACAATGATATTGTACTTTCTTTGTGGGCATTCTCATCGTGGATTTGGAGCACTGGTAACAAGAGCCTGGAGCTTGTATTTGGTCTGAGTCAAGCCTGCATTACCTGTCTATCTAGTAAGGTAAATGGGTTGGCAGGTGATTTATTATTCAGACCACAGAGGAAATTGACCACTTATTCAAGTTTGGCGTGGCACGGGTTCACAATACAAAAAGGATAGCTGGCCTTGTAGTGGCAGCAGAATCCTGGAGGACTTTATTGATTACTTAGCCTGCACCACCTGTTGATTTGGTAAGGTGTATAGATTGACAAGTGGCACACTTGATTGATTGCACTGTATGACCACTATTTGCAGTGTGGTGCGGCACATATTCACAGTGTTTAGAGGAGTGTGGAACATAAAGCAATTGTTCATGAATTTGGGCAAGAGGCTGAATCTTATCACTGGATATATAGGTGATCACGGTGATACTGATTGTGATACACACGCACCAATAACATTTGCATCTAAGGATAATGCACTATGTTTAGTTTATTTACTACTATGAATAGAAGAGGACATATTGGTGTGATGAACACAAAGAATTGATGGAGCACTAAGTAATGGTGGACTATATGAAGATTTATTAGGGTGCATGGATTTATATTTGTGACGGGAGTGACTTTTGGGGGTGGGGGGACCTCTGTATCATCTCCCCAGATCATTATGTTTAATCCACCCTGTGCCTGTTTAGGGGTACAGGGTGTGAATGTCCCAGTATTGTGTATTTGTGTGCTGTCCTTTGTCTAGGCCACATGGCTGTTCATTGTTTGTTTGCCATGTGCTACCCCCCATTGTGCTGTGCCTTGCTGGCCAGCCAGCTATTATGGGATGTACTGTTTGTGTATTAGTGTGGGGGTTGGTCAATGTCCTTTGCCATGTGCTTCATCCCATTGTTCTGTGTCTTGGTGGGATGGGGAGGGGTGATGATGTATTTCCTGTTCCTGGTTGTGTTTCCCCGCCCTCTGTATATATCCTGTGTTTTGTGTTAAAATAAAGAGTTGGCTTCCTGTTTTAAGAAGAGCTGGGTGCTGTCTTTTTCCTGAGGGATTTCAAGGGTGTGGTCCGTGGATGGTGTTCGGACAGGGAAGCTGTGGTATAACAGAAAAACTCAGTGCGGTCTGGGTTCCGGTTCTGTTACAATATTGAAAAGCAACATTATATTAAACATTGGAGTATTTGGTTTATATCCACGGTGACCGGTCTGAATAACGTGTCTGGGTTTCAGACAGACTGAAACCCGGACACACGATTCAAAACCTGCACTGTCTTGATGAATCCTGGACAGGTGGTAACCCTAGGGTCACCCCATATACTGATAGCAGCCATTGTGACCCCAAGACAATGCATAGAAGAGCAGCACAGTGTTTGGCCCCAAAACACAATAGAGTAGAGCAGCAGAATGTGGTCCCCAGGGGCCTAAAACACAGAATATGAGTGCAGCACAATGTGGTCCCTGGGGCCCCAGCATACTATCATGGTGGGAGGCAGCAGAATGTGGGCCCCCCCCCCCCCCCCCCACCCCCCCCCCCCCCCCCCCCGCAATAAAAGTGCAGAACTTCATTAAAATGATCCATTAAGGTAAAAAATAAACCCTAGTAAGGTAAACCTGCAAAAGAAGATAGAGGAGACTTGCCTCTCTCACCGCCCGCGCTTCACTCCTGAGAAATCTTACTGTGAAGTCCATTGTGAAACCAACACTTCCAGCAACTGCTCATCTCTTTGGTCCCCAAATAAATGTTCCACTATTATTATTATTATACAGGATTTATATAGCGCCAACAGTTTGCTCAGCGCTGTACATTACAATGGAAGACAATACACAGTAACAATACGAATCAATACACGAGGGGTTCGAGGGCCCTGCTCCTTGGAGCGTACAATCTAGGAGGGAGGGGCTAGTGGCACAGGAGGAAATAGCTGTGGGGGATGGAGTGGTAGGAAGAGTGGAGGAGATCAGTAATTAGCTGAGATTGGGGTAGGCTTCCCTGAAGAGAGAGGTTATCACAGTGCGCCTAAAAATGAGGAGAGTAGGTGATAGTCTGATGGATTGGGGTAGGGAGTTCCAGAGAATGGGGGAAGTCCTGGAGTCGGGCATGGGAGGAGGAGACCAGGGAACTAGAGAGGAGGTCTTGTGAGGAGCAGAGAGTGAGTTTTGGGTGGTATATGGATATCAGATCGGTGATGTAGTTTGGGGCAGTATTATGAACAGCTTTATACGTCAGTTTTGGCATTTTGAATTTTATCCGTTGGGCAATCGGAAGCCAGTGGAGGGATTGGCAGAGGGGGGTGGCGGAGACAGAGCGGTTAGTAAGGTGGATGAGTCTGGCTGCAGCATTCAAGATAGACTGAAGCGGGGATAGCCTGCGGTGGGGTAAGCCGATGAGGAGGGAGTTGCAGTAGTCGTGCCGTGATATGAGGGAGTGAATGAGTTGCTTAGTGGTTTCCAGGGTTAGAAACGGATGTATTTTAGAGATGTTGCGGAGGTGAAGTCTGCATGAGTTTGTCAGCGATAGGACCTGGGGCTGGAAAGACAGATTGAAGTCTAGGATGACACCTAGTACTCTGGCTTGAGGGGAGGGACTGATGGTGGCGTTGTTGGTCTTGATGGAGAAGTTGGGGGGGGGGGAGAAACTAGGAGCTTGGTTCTGAAAAGATTTAGTTTGAGGAAGTGACATCCAATCCGATATGTCGCTCAGTAGGCTTGTGATACGGGCGGAGACTGAAGGGGTGAAGCGAGGGGTAGAGAAATAGATTTGCGTGTCGTCAGGACAGAGATGGTAGTTGAAGCCGTGAGAGTGTATCAATTGGCAGAGGGAGGAGGTGTAGATGGAGAAGAGAAGGGGCCCGAGGACAGAATCTTGAGGGACCCCAACAGAGAGGGGGAGGTGGCAGCGTTATAGGTAACACTGAAGGAGCCAGGAGAGAGCGGAGTCTCTGAGGCCGAGGGAGTGTAGTTTTTAGAGGAGGAGGGGGTGGACAACCGCATCGAAAGCTGCAGAGAGGTCAAGGAGTAGGAGCACTGAATAGTGCCCATTAGCTTTGGCGGTTAGCAGGTCATTGGTGAGTTTGAGTAGGGCGGTTTCGGTGGAGTGTAGGGGGTGGAAGCCGGACTGTAGGGGATCGGGGAGGTTGTTGTTGGTGAGGTGGGAACTCAGGCGATTATAGACTAAGCGCTCTAGGAGTTTGGATGTAAATGGCAGCAGGGAGATGGGTCTAAGGTTGTTCAGGTCCGTGGGATCCAGGGAGGGTTTTTTAAGTATGGGGGTGATGTGTGCGTGTTTTAGAGGGGAGGGGAAGGCACCAGTAGAGAGGGAAAGATTAAAGATGCGTGTGAGGGAGCGTAGGATGGAGGAAGAGGGAGATCGTAGGAGTTGTGAGGGGACAGGGTCAAGGGGGCAGGTGGTGAGGCGGGCTTCAGAGAAGACCTTAGTGACCTCTTCAGTGGTAGCGAGGTCGAAGGAGTGGAGTGTTGAGGGGGTTTTAGTGTGAGGGATGCTAGGTGGGGTGGAAGTCTGGACAGTGGCGAGGTCGAAGGATTGGAGTGTTGAGGGGGTTTTAGTGTGAGGGAGGCTAGGTGGGGTGGAAGTCTGAGCAGTGGTGATGTCCCTACGAATTGCGTCGATCTTGTTTTTGAAATGGTTAGCAATCTCGAGGGCGGTGAGTGAGGTACTGGGCGGAGGTGGGGGCGGAGAGAGTAGAGAGTTAAAAGTGGAGAAGAGCGGCGAGGACTGGAGGAGAAGGTAACAAAGTAGGCTTGCTTGGCAGCGTGGAGGGAGGAAGTATAGGTTAGGGAGGCAGATTTATATCGGGTGAACGCTTGTTGGGATCTGGTTCTGCGCCATAGATGCTCAAGGCGACCGAATGCGTTTTCAGATTTTTGGTTGGTCAGTCTGCCAGGGTTGTTGCGGTCGGGGTCTAATGCTTCGTGTAGTTGGGGTTGCTAGCGAGTCTTTCGTAAAGTTGGTCAGCAGCAGAGTGGAAAGGGGCCGGGTTCAAGTTGTGGAGGTTTCTGCTGATGATGGTTTGATGTTTGGAGGGATAGGTGTTTGAGGACGAGGAGACTGTGAAGGTGATGAGATTGTGATCAGAGAGGGGAAATGGGGTGTTGGAGAGGTTATAGGGAGTACAGTGGTGGGAGAAGATAAGGTCTAAGGTATTTCCGTTGGAATGAGTGGAGGACTGAATACACTGCGCTAGTTCAAAAGAAGAGGTTAAGTGGAGGAGTTGGGATGTAGCCGGGTTATTGACGGTAATAGGGATGTTCAAGTCTCCGTGGATGATAGCGGGTAGCTCAGAGGAGAGAAAGTAGGGTAGCCAGGCAGCGAAGTCATCGAGAAAGCGGGACACGGGGACAGGAAGCTGGTAGATCACTGCAATCCTCAGGGAGGTTGGAGAGAATAGCCGGGTGCACTATGAGCCACAGTCTGTCAAGGTAAATAATCCCAAAATCTAGCCAGAGGAAAGAGGAACACTTCACACACTGTCAGGGTATTTATTGCAGTCTGTGTTCCCTTTTGAGGCAATAACCCCTCATCGTCTGTGCTCTACAAAAACAAGAAAATGGGATAACTGGTGTCACCAGGACAGGAACCTGAAAGATGTTCTCAATTTGGGGGTTAGGTTTAAAGCCGTACAAAACCCAAAACATAAAGTATGTTGCAGCTTACCAATCGTTAGCCATGGTGGCAGAACACGCTGTCCAGACAAAGTGTCATTTACAGGGATTAGACAAACCATTTACCATTGACAGGGGTGCTTACAATGACCTCTGTTTTCAATTGGTGATCTAGCCAGTAACACACCACCTGTATTAAGAGTGCCCCCACTCTGGATGGAGCACAGGGGTCACCTTTGGACAGCAGCGTTGTCTGGTGGGAGAGGAGTGTTAGATTTACTAGTAGATTTAGATGGACTTGGCTAACAAATTAAAGCTGAACTCCAGCTCACACTTTATAATTGTTACAGCAACGGTTTTGTTCCTTTTTGGGATAAAGGGTTTACATCAATAAAATCTGGTCATTGTGAGCACTCCTGTCAGTGGAAAATGTTTTGTCTAATCCCTCTGACACTTTAGCTGTACAGCATGTTCTGCTAAAGGAATTTTAAAAATAGACTTACTGGCAGGATCACCAGGTGATAATATAGGAAACAAGCCTAAAAAAAGAAAACCAATGCAGCCATCACGTCATATAGATTGGTATGCTGCAATGTTTGACATTTTTGTTCTTGGGTTTAATACCACGTGTGGTACACTAATTTTTCATTTTATATATACATATATATATATATATCACTGATGAGTATGGTATGCTTAGGATCATGAGCAGTTCCTTCTCCATACTCTTCTCTTCCCATCACTCTGGTACAAGTTGATGTCGGTCTCATCTCTCCATAGGATGTTGTTCCAGAACTGTGAAGGCTTTTTTACATGTCGTTTGGCAAACTCTAATCTGGCCTTCCTGTGTTTGAGGCTCACCAATGGTTTCCATCTTGTGGTGAACCCTCTGTATTCACTCTGGTGAAGTCTTCTCTTGATTGGTGACTTTGACACACATACACCTACCTCCTGGAGAGTGTTCTTGATCCGGCCAACTGTTGTGAAGGGTGTTTTCTTCACCAGGGAAAGAATTCTTCGCTCATCCACCACAGTTGTTTTCCGTGGTCTTCCGGGTCTTTTGGTGTTGCTGAGCTCACCGGTGCGTTCCTTCTTTATAAGAATGTTCCAAACAGTTGTTTTGGCCACGCCTAATGTTTTTGCTATCTCTCTGATGGGTTTGTTTTGTTTTTTTCACCCTAATGATGGCTTCACTGATAGTGACAGCTCTTTGGATCTCATCTTGAGAGTTGACAGCAACAGATTCCAAATGCAAATAGCACACTTGAAATGAACTCTGGACCTTTTATCTGCTCATTGTAATTGGGATAATGAGGGAATAACACACACCTGGCCATGGAACAGCTGAGAAGCCAATTGTCCCATTACTTTTGGTCCCTTAACAAGTGGGAGGCACCTATGCAAACTGTTATCATTCCTACACGTTCACCTGATTTGAATGTAAATACCCTCAAATTAAAGCTGACAGTCTGCAGTTAAAGCACATCTTGTTCGTTTCATTTCAAATCCATTGTGGTGTATGGAGCCAAAAATGTTACAATTGTATCCTTGTCCCAATATTTATGGACCTGACTGTATATACATGATTTTGTATTTCCGTGTAGGGGGCGCACGTGCGCCCTACTTGTGCCGCCATTGGTGGCTACAGCTGTCGATCACTGGGTCCCAGCCGGAGATTGCCCAAAGGCACCCGACAATCACTGAGGAACACTGATGGGGAGAAGTCCGTATGTAAACAATACAGATCTCTCCCCTATAAGCTCCAGCAGAGCAATACAAAGCAGAGTGCTTACACAGTAAAACAGCACACAGTTAACCCTTTGATCGCCCAGATATTAACCCCGTCCTGCCCAGTGCCATTAGTACAGTGTCAGTGCTTTTTATTCGCACTGATCACATATCACAGACATCATATTAATGTCACCTGATTTGGATGTAAATACCCTCAAATTAAAGCTGACAGTCTGCAGTTATAGCACATCTTGTTTGTTTCATTTCAAATCCATTGTGGTGTATAGAGCCAAAAATGTTACCATTGTGTCCATGTCCCAATATTTATGGACCTGACTCTATATATCTATCTATCTAGATAGATAGATAGTTTCTTATGGTGGATGTTGATTGTTCTTTACAGGAGTTTCCAGCAATGGTACAGTATGCAAAAATCTTCACAGCTGGAAAGAAAGTGCCTTCTGATGATGTTATCCATGAGTTTAAAAGCATTGTGAAGCAGTTTCTGAGTGAGAACCCTGACAATGGTAAGGTCTTCTCCTTATTGCAGGCCGTTTGGTTCCCAGACATGAATGTGACTACTAGAGGGACTATCAACTCTCACATTTTAAAACAACTCATTAAGTTTAAAATAGAAATGAAGGGTAAAACATTTGTATATAGATATGAAAAAAATTATAAATACATTTTTTCCCTTTTATTAGTGATCACAAGACCTCTGTTCTCAAAGGATGGGGGGGGAGGTAATGGGGGTGTCAGCACAAGTCTGATCATTGGAGGAGAGCAGGCTGAGTTCCCCGCACCATGCTGTGATTTCATGCCTAGTGTAGTCAGTTTATAGTAGGAAAACAGAGGGACTGGTGGTAACACTAGGTATTTCACACAAAGGGAGTAATGCAAAGAGAACAGGATAGGCTTTCATAAAAGTACATGGTACAGCAGGCACAGATCAGGAATAGGAAATGTTGGGTTTACATGTTATTTAATTATACCCTTTTGCTCTAAACCTGACTAACATGTACTTGGACCCCTAAATGAAAATCCATTGTGAGGTCAGTTTTGTGTTCCAATGATTGTCACACTTTATCTCTCATACATATCATCTTCTGTTTTGTGTGTATTGCGAACGTTTATTCCAAAGCATATGCTAAGAGGTGTGAAACCTTGTGATGTTGGCAGCACAATATCCCCTCAAACAACCTCCAGCCACAATCCTACGAAAGCTGCGGCCAAAGCCAAGCCTAGAGGTCACTTTGCCAGGACTTCATGTGACACTCCATCCCGGAGTGCTCGGTCCTCCCCAACACTGGAGCAGGAACACGTCATAGCACCTGTCCCTGCATCCAAAGCCGCCTATGTACAGTATTGGACACAGTAGGCCACTTATCTGTCTTCAGAGGAATTTTCTGCATCCATTTCATGATTCCCCAGAAAGCAAACTGCCTTTGTACAGTCAGATTTGTCTGGAGATAAACTCTGCTGGCTCCTCCTCTTGTCCACCCGATCCCCTTTACTTTAGATTCTGCATAGTCTGCCCTTACAAAGGCAAGCATGATATAGGTACAGGAGGACTGGGACAATGTCTTAGCCAGGAACTTGGACCATATACTGTATCTGTGCCCAGGTGCACAGGCTGCTGTATTCTCACAATCAGCCTATTTAATAAAAAGCAAAGTAAAACCCTCACATGATGATGTAGTGTTCGCAGATTGTGCACAACGTTCAATAAGCGGACACTAATATAAGACCAAGCATTTCACTGCCGTCAGTCCCGGTGTACACTCCAATCCACTCTGTGCACCAAGACTGACAGCTGGTAGCCATCTCCTGGTACTGTATTGCAGTCTGGATTTTGTGTTCTGGATTCAGTAACAGTACCAGTTATTATACTTTATAGAACAGTTAGTTGTATGCTTCCTGTATGAAGTGGGCAGCAGTATGAAATGCACAGTAAAATTATTTCAGTAATATATTTCCAGTTCTTTCCCTGCAGATAAACTCATTGGCGTTCACTGTACACATGGGTTGAACAGGACAGGATATTTGGTTTGCAGGTAAGTTGGCTTTTTTACTATTATGGGGCATACCGTATTTTTCGCTCCATAAGACGCACCTGACCATAAGACGCACCTAGGTTTTAGAGGCAGAAAACAGGAAAAAAAAAATTCTGAACTAATGGACTGCAGACATAGATACAGGAGATGACCAGAGACTGCGGACAGCACAGGGATGACCAGAGACTGCGGACAGCACAGGGATGACCAGAGACTGCGGACAGCACAGGGATGACCAGAGACTGCGGACAGCACAGGGATGACCAGAGACTGCAGACATAGTACAGGAGATGACCAGAGAGAGACTGCGGACAGCACAGGGATGACCAGAGACTGCGGACAGCACAGCACAGGGATGACCAGAGACTGCGGACAGCACAGGGATGACCAGAGACTGCGGACAGCACAGATGACTGCTGACCTGTGGGGAGGTGGGGAGCGAGTACCTGAATTTGACAGGTACCCGCTCTTACTTCCGCAGAGTTTTTGTTTGATCTTACCTGTTCCTCGATCCAGCCGCGCGCTGTCTTCCCGGCTTCTGTAATGGCGCTCGGCATGACAGCCGGGTGCCCAGTGCGCATGAGCGAGAAGCACTTGCGCTTTGTGATTGGTCCGGCGGCTTCTGGGATCGGTCATGTGTCCCAGGTACCGCCTTACCATTTACAAAAAGCACCGCTTCTTGCGCATGCGCACTTGGCACCCGGCTGTCATGCCCACACTACAGAAGCCGCGAAGACAGCGCGCCGCTGGATAGAGGAACAGGTAAGATCAAAGAACAAAGTAGTAAGAGCGGGTACCTGTCCAATTCAGTTACCCGCTCCCCACCTCCCCAAAGGTCAGCAGTCCTCTCTATAAGGTCCCACTGCAGAGCTGAGCGGCCGGCCCGGTATTCTGCACGGCGGCGGTGGAAATACCGGACCGGCCACTCTATATTCGCTCCATAAGACGCACTGACATTTTCCCCCCTTTTTTGGGGGGAAAAAAGTGCGTCTTATGGAGCGAAAAATACGGTAATATAACCCCAACACATACATTTTACCATGTGGGGAAACCTTAGCAAATAATATTTCATACAAAGGACATTAAATGATAGCAGTGTGCTTCCCTTTAGGATACACTTCAGGTAACAGGTACATTCAGGTACATTCAGTTGTAGCAAAGCGAATACTGTCTAATAAATGCTGCAACTGTATAAGGTCCAATGTGCAGTCAGCTTACCTGCAATCCAGATTTCAAGGCTCCACAGTTGATTTACCTATGAGGCTTTACCCAGGGCTCATGGATGGGACTGTAGAAACAGAAAAGTGACAGCAGAAAAATACTGAGTGGTCCATCAAGTCTGCCCAATTTTTTGTTTTTGTTTTGGGGGGTTTTTTTGCGGGGTGGGTGTGGTTTTTTTTGTTGTTTTTGTTCACTTTTTGTCTGAGTATAGATCTATGCTGCTTGTACCAAGAATGTTTGAAGCTATTTACTGTTGACTGGCTCACTACCTCTGCTGAAAGTTTATTCCAAGCATCATCTACTCTTTCAGTAAAATAGTACTTTCTACATATATATCAGCCAGCTCCGAAATCCCAACACCAAGAGCCTACTATCACAGTTTAAGGGCCAAAAGCTGCAAGCTGGGGACCAATTTACATAACTTGGCAGTACCCTATCCCGCGCAGTGACAGTTGACATCGAGGTCACCTGCAGAATCGCCAAGGCAAGCTCTGCATTTGGCAGACTACTGACCAATGTGTGGGACCACCATGGAATAAGCCTTACCACAAAGCTCAAAGTCTACCGAGCAGTAGTGCTAACTACCCTGATGTATGCCAGTGAGACTTGGACTTTATACAGGAGTCATGCTAGGCAATTGAACCACTTCCACATGACCTGCCTCCGCAGACTTCTGAGGGTCTGTTGGCAGGACAAGGTACCAGACACAGAAGTCCTCTCCAGAGCAGACCTGCCATCAGTTCACACCCTGCTGATGAAAGCCAAGACATTCTGGGCAGGCCATGTTGCAAGGATGCCAGACCACCGCATCCCTAAACAGCTCCTCTATGGTGATCTGTCTGAAGGAAAGCAATTGCATGGGGTGGGGGGGGGGAAACAAAGGAAGCAATACAAAGACACATTGAAAGCCTCCAAGTCCCTGGATATTGACATCACCTCCTAGGAAACCCTGGCACAAAATTGATCAACATGGCACACCTTGATCCACCAAGGCTGCCAAACATTTAAGGAGAGAACAACCACAGCACAAGAGAAGCGAGCACTCCACAAAGCCAGAGCTGCAAATGCTGCAACAGTGGTGCCCACATATGTCTGCCTGACGCGTGGCAGAACATTTCGTGCCCATATAGGCCTTACCAGCCACCTACGGACACACCGTGGACAGCTCACTATCTGTTAGATGTCAAGGTCCTCTTCAAACACGATGGACGAACATCCGTTTCTAAGATTAGTTTTGACCTTTCCTCCAGTTAGTTGAAGGTCCTGTCCTCGTGTTCTTGATTTGGTTTCCTGTTGAAAATACTGTTAGTTCAGTGGTGTCTTCTAGTCTTTCAGGAAGATGCTGTGAGCACAGTAGACGACCAGCAAGTCGTAGGTTCAGTGTTGGCTGAGACTGGAAGCAATCCCAGATGTATTGATGCCTTGAAATATTTCAAGGGGGATGGGGCAGAGAGAGTGCCAGGCAGGATGAGAGGTTAGAAGGTAAAGCACAATGGCTTAGTGGTTAGTACTTATACCTTGCAGCACTGAGTTCCTCCGTCCCACTGACTGGGCATTCAGTTTGCATGTTCTCTCTGTGCATGTATTGGTTTCCTCTGGATAATCCAGTTTCCCCCCACACCCCAAACACATGCTGATAGGTTAATTGACTTGTGTCTAAATTGGCCCTAGTTTGTATGCACCTAACATACACTATATTGCCCAAAAGTATTGTCCCCGCCCTCCCAATCATGTGATTCAGGTTTTCCAATCCCCTCCATGGCCACTGGTGTTTAAAATCAAGCCCCTAGGCATGAAGACTGTTTCTACAAACATTTGTGAAAAATAGGTCGCTCTCAGGAGCTCAGTGAATCCCAAGCGTGGTACTGTGATCGTTTTCCACCTGTGCAATTAGTCCATCCTGGCTGCTAAATATTCCACGCTCAACTGTTAGTGGGATTATAACAAAGTGGAAGCAACTGGGAACAACAGCCACTCAGCCCCCAAGTGGTAGGCCATGTCACATGACAGGGCGGGGTCAGGGCATGCTGAAGCGCACAGTGCGCAGAAGTCACCAACTGTCTGCAGAGTCAATAGCTAAAGACCTCCAAACTTCATGTGGCCTTCAGATGAGCCTTACAACAGTGCGTAGAGAGCTTCATGGAATGGGTTTCCATGGCCGAGCAGCTGCATCCAAGCCTTCCATTTCCAAGTGCAATGCAAAGCGTCGGATGCCGTGATGTAAAGCACACCGCCACTGGACTCTAGAACAGTGGAGGCGTGTTCTCTGGAGTGACCAATCACGCTTCTCTGTCTGGACCCTAGAGCAGGGGAGGCGTGTTCTCTGGAGTGATCAATCACGCTTCTCTGTCTGGCAATCCGATGGACATGTCTGGGTTTGGTGGTGACCAGGAGAACGGTACTTGCCTGACTGCATTGTGCCAAGTGTAAAGTTTGGTGGAGGGGGGATTATGGTGTGGGGTTGCTTTTCATGGGTTGGGCTTGGCCCCCTAGTTCCAGTGAAGTGAACTCTTAAGGCGACATTTTGGACAATTTCATGCTCCCAACTTTGTGGGAAGAGTTTGGGGATGGCCCCTTTCTGTTCCAACATGACTGCGCACCAGTGCACAAAGAAAGGTCCATAAAGACATGGAGGAGCCAGTTTGGGGTGGAGGAACTTGACTGTCCTGCACAGAGTCCTGACCTCAACCCCATAGAACACCTTTGGGATGAATTAGAGCGGAGACTGCGAGCCAGGCCTCCTCCCCCGACATCAGTGCCTGACCTGACAAATGTGCTTCTGGAAGAATGGTCCAACCTTCCCATAGACACCCTCCTAAACCTTGTGGACGGCCTTCCCAGAAGAGTTGAAGCTGTTATAGGTGCAAAGGGTGGGGCCAACTCAATATTGAACCCTACGGACTAAGACTGGGGGGCCATTAAAGGTTGTGTGTGGAAAGGGCGGGGCCAACTCAATATTGAACTCTACGGACTAAAACTGGGAAGCCATTAAAGGTCATGTGTGGAAAGGCCGGCGGCCCGATAATTGGGACCATATAGTGTACATTGTAAGCTCCTTGAGGACAGAAACGGATGTGAACATACAATATGTAAAGCACTGTGTAGCAGGAAAAATGTAGTAAAGTATAGAGACCAGAATAGTTGAGCTGATCTTGGAGCTGGTCTGGCTGTGATACTTAGATGTGTTCCTGAAACACTCTAGATCCCAGCAATGAGATAGTATTGGACCTGGAGTGAGGTGGGGAACTAGAGAAAGCATACATGACAACAGGGAATCTTGCTATGTATGAATCACCTTACCTTAATTTCCACAGAATATGTCTTGGAAATTTTACAGATCGACAATTCCTGTCCTGATATCAATCAGTGGTTCCAAATAAACTACTACAGCAATTGGGAACAGACAAAAACATACACCCATCATTTTTGTAAAGAACTGTTCTGGTTATTCAGAGCATTCAAGGTTTTTATTTAATAAGCGTTCTTCCATATGTATCACAATAGTATTGTACATTTAGGGTAACTAGGGGAGCAGCTGAAGCAGTACATAGGCTGGCTAGTTTATCGGGGTCTTAGGAATACGAGTAAATGGCAGAATTGTTAAAGGATAAATTCACCTTTCGCACAAACATAATAAATGCACATTGTTTATACCTGTCAGTATATCTGATTGCCCATACGGGATGTACAGGCAAGCAGATATACTGCCAGTAAGATTCACTGAACTACCACAGTGTTCCACAACACCAGTTCACTGAAAACTACAAACCCTCTTAATACTCACCTCGGTCCTCACTCAATCCAGCGCTGTGCCATCTGCTGCAGCTCTCTATTCTTCCCTTTCTCACAGGCTTGGCTAAGAGCAATGGGAGCCATTGGCTACTACTGCTGTCAGTAAAAACCCATGACAATCTGTCTGTGTCTACAGACATAGGCAGCAGCTCAGGAGCGAGCCCACAGGTGTGCCACAATAGGAAGCAGCTTCACTATGGTGGCACATCAAGAAGTGAAGGAGCTAGGAGCACCGGCGGGGGACCCGAGAAGAGGAGGGTCAGGGCTGCTCTCTGCCTGTTGAGTGGCTGTCCAACCAACAGTATATAAAATGAAATGGCAGAGTGTCCACAGCAGCAAAGTATAAGTTGGCTGTTATTTTCTAGCAAGTTCTACAAAAACAGCTGAAATCTTCTATAAGTCACCCCGTACGTCTCTCGTCAGCATATGACTTTGTTAAAGGCTAACTCCACTTTTAGGACCTATATTTAGGGTGTAACGTGCCAAGACAATCCTTCACCCCCAAAATGGTCCTCCTCCTGACAGTGGGAGTTCTTCTCCACAGCAGCTGTCAGATTTGAAATTGACCCAACTGCAGGGGAGATCATTGAATAAATGAATTACAAGTCCTGTCTGTGACCGCAGCAGAATGACTTGTAATTCTTAATGGAACACAGGGGTGGCGATTACTGCACTCGTAGTCCAGTGTCCTCCAGATCATAAACTGAGGTAAAGTCTTTAATTCAGCATGGAGCTGGAGAAAGAGTCTGCAGAAGCCTGGCATTGCACCCACCATCCATTGAGCAGCTGCAATGCTTTTCAGCCTGACTTGCAAATTAATAATGAATGTATTTTTTCCTAGAGATATGTGGTGTTATATATATATATGTGTATGTGTGTGTGTGTGTGTGTATATATATATGTGTGTGTGTGTGTGTATATGTGTGTGTGTGTGTGTATATATACACTTTATTTTTTTAATATGATGGCTTTACGCTCTAAATTCGGTGGAATTTGTGCCCACATGTCTTTGTTTGCCTCTCTATTTATAGGTATATGATTGATGTTCTTGGTATGGTGCCATCTGAAGCTATAGAAAGTGAGTACCTTTAGTGTATTCTATTCTTTAACATAGTTTATTTATATTGTGTTTCTGAAAGCTGCATTTTGTGAATTCACTTATTAACAATAATACTTTGCAGTATTCAACAAAAGCCGTGGGCATTGCATAGAACGGCAGAACTATCTTGATGACCTTTTACAGGGAAAACCTAGGAAGTAAGTTGCCACTTGGGACTAATTTTGTATTGTCAAATTGAAGATGTGTGCTTCTTGAGTCAGCAGTGTGTTAAAAATTTCTGGAATTTTTTGGGATATTGTATCAGTTGAAATATATCTGATTTTTTTTTTTGTTTTTTTTTGGTCGGGGGAACAGTATCCTCATACTACTTCTTGCAGACTCCTTACCCCCACTAGTACCCATGTTATTAAGTCCAAACTACTTGATCCAGGTCAGTGATGTATTGGCGCTGTGTTCATGGGGAGAGCACTGCCTACCTACCTGTATTTCTTTTTATTGCATTTCTTACTTTTGATGTTTCTTGCTTTAGAAAAGATCTTACAAGAGATTATTCACACCTGATGTGTGGCCATGTATTTCTCTATTGTACATCACCGGACACATGGCATCTTCATATTCATTATGATAGGGTTATTGTGCCACCTTCAGGTAATTGGACTCTGGAACAACAAACTTTAATCTATTCCCAGATAGGTACAGTCTATTTTCTTGGGTAATGGTCATGTGCAATCTTTACACATCTGCTTTTCTCCTTTCCTGTAGGAAACAGGAGACAGGCTTTTTCTAGATCTGTTACCTGCAGCCTAAAGCCAAGAGGAATGGAGCCCTTACCCTGCATGCGGGGATGGCCTGTAATGTTGAGTTTGGCATTGGCCGTGACGCAAACAGGACCCTTTGCAATGTTATGTTGCCTAGCGGTCTGGCAGAGTGCTATACAGGTCCAGGGTGGTGATCCCCAGCTGGACAGTCATGTCTCTGAAGGCCTTTGTGGCAAGCCTGCCAAGATGGGTGAAGTTTTGGATCCCTGTGGGTTTTGTGGTGTGAAACAGTGAGTGCCTCTGTTGGGGGTACCTCTAGAGGCTGTATCCTGGGGGGGGGGGGATTTGCCTTCCTGTGTCCCTTCTGCTCAGTGTACAGCACTTTTTGGGTGGATCACTGACAGCAAAGGCAGTAATATCCTTGATTTTTGTTCTCCTGGTAACATTCTACATTTGGTAGTTTTGTTGGGTGTTGATAACATTTGCCCCTCTCAGCTGACTGTGCAATAATAATATAGCCAGAGTCCACTTGTTGTCAATAGGCCATGTCTTAGTGACACCAGAGGGGTGGGGAAAGTGGGGGAGAAGGTTCCCAACTTCCTCTGAGGTCGGAAGGAAACTAGCCATAGCTCACTGGCAATAATTGCCCTGGAGTTCTAGTCAGTCCATTCTGTGTGGCTCTGATTCCCTTTACTTGTCTGGCCTTCCTACATTTGCAAAATTTCCCAATGAAATCTGTCCAGTAAGTGATCACCTTCCTTCAACAGGGGTCTTTGTGGCATCAATGGATATAAAGGATGCATATTCTGCACATATCAGGCATTTTCCATTTGTAGCTCTGCTGTTTGGCTTCTCCAATGCCCCAGGATATTCACATGAAGGTGTTGACTCACACGCTTCGAGAGCATTCCGTTTTGCTTCTGGAGTACAGTGTGCATCTGACGGTGCTTCTGTTGGGAAGCTTTGGGTGGATCCTGAGCTTCCAAAAATCAGCCTTGGTTCCAAATCAATGACTGCAATATTTGGGCCTGATCTTGGAAAAATGCCTGTTGCAAATACAGGTGGCGTCACTTTGGGCTTTATATCAGCCCTTCGTATGCTTCTGCATGAGGGTTCTGGGTTCTTCAAATTAATATCTTGTCAGCATGGGACAAAAGGACACAGGCAATGGATTCTCAGATGTGTCGGCACCCCAAGACAAAACTGTCACTATAATGGTGGATCTCCACATGGAGTCGTATGAGACCCTTTTATCAAGGTTTCTGAGCTTTCTCTGCAAGCAAAAACGGGAGTAGTAGCAGGCAGCTATTATTATTATTATTATACAGGGTTTATATTGCGCCAAGTTTGCTCAGCGCTTTACAAAATAACGGGAGACAATACAGCAATGATACAGTTCAATACAAGAGGGCTTTGAGGGCCCTGCTCCTTGGAGCCTAGTGGTACAAAAGGTAGTAACTGTGGGGGATGGACTGGTTGGAAGAGTAGAAGATTCCAGTATTAGCTGAGGGCAGGATAGGCTTCTCTGAAGAGAGGGGTTTTCAGAGATCGCCTAAAAGTGAGCAGAGTAGGCAATAGTCTGATAAATTGGGGTAGAGAGTTCCAGAGGATGGGGGAAGCCCTGGAGACGAGCATGGGAGGAGGAGACAAGGCGGCTAGAGAGTAGGAGGTCTTGTGAGGTGCGGAGAGTACAGTTTGGGTGATATTTAGAGACAAGATCGGTCATGTAATTTTGGGCAGAGTTATAAATGACTTTATACGTTATTGTTAGTGTTTTGAATTTTATCCGTTGGGCAATTGGAAGCCAGTGGAGGGTTTGGCAGAGAGAGGTGGCAGATACAGAGCGGTTAGTGAGGTGGATGAGTCTGGCAGCAGCATTCATGATAGACTGAAGAGGGGATAGCCTGCGATGAGGTTGGCCAATGAGGAGGGAGTTACAATAGTCAAGGCGAGATAAAGCAAGGGAGTGAATAAGTTGCTTAGTGGTTTCCGAGGTTAGGACGGAACATCTTGGAGATGTTGTGGAGTTTATCACCCTCTGGTTAGATGAAGCTTGGAACGTTGCTTTTTCTCTCAGAACCTGGGGAAAAAGCTAAAGGGGTTTCACTTAACTGGTTCATTAGAGTAATATTAAAGGTTCTTACTTGTTTTTTATTTAAAAAAAAAAAAAAAGTCATATCTGTTCTCAAATGGTTTTACATGAAGCAGCCCCCATCCTCTTCTCAGGTCCCCTGCCAGCGCTCCTGGCTCCTACCTCCCCTGCCGAGTGATCGCATAGCTAGTCGCTTACTATGGGGGCATATGCCTTTACGACTGCTTTAATTAACCTTTTGGGTACCAATACAAAAGACTCCTTCCCATGTCTTGCCCTTTTTCTAGGGACCTGTGATATCCAGTCAAATATGTGGAGCAGCTGTTGGTAAAGGTTAATCATTATGATGTGTTTCATTCAACTCCCAGAGCCTTTGGACGTAGATAGTATTTCAGGATATGTAGGAGCCCCTGACTCTGCCGTCAGGCTTGAGCACTGCCATGTCAGGAAGTGAGAAGGTCATTAGCCCTCTTTGAACTTACCCAAAAACAAGCACAGACCTTACACAGGGATTGTAACTTAGGGCTCCAGCAGGTTAACAGCGCAATGGTGAAGTACAAGAAGAGCTGAGGTGTATGGGAAGGAGCTCTCAAGGCATATGGCTTTTTAGGTTGTTGGCATTGTATAATTCACCACTGCTAAAAGAAGCCCATTTTTAAGAATCACCACAGGAACATAGGTGCTTGTGTGTATGTACTGATATATTTATACAGTATAAACTGTATGTGTGTGGCCAAAAATATTGTTCCCCCGGCATTTCTGTCGGATAACGCACCACTTCACCCAGAAAATTGCTGCAATTACTAATGTTTCAGCATTCTCGTGTTTATTTCTTTTGATTGTATTGGTATGACACAAAAAAAATGGAGAAACAAAAAACAAATTTGACCCATTCCATGCAAACTCCAAAAATGGACTGGACAAAACTATTGGCACCCTCGATGGAATATTTGGTAGCCCCCCAAACCCCCACCACCCCCCCACCCCCCCCCCCCCCCCCCCCCCCCCCTTGGAAACAATCCCTGAAATCAATGTCTTCCTGTCACCATCAATGAGTTTCTTGCACCTCTCTACTGGAATTTTGGAGCGCTCTTCTTCCTCCAACTGCTCCGGGTCTCTCAGATTGGAAGGGTTCCTTTTCCCAACTGCTGTTTTGAGATCCCTTCACAGGCGCTCTATTGTGATTGAGATCCGGACTCCTTGCTGGCCAGTTCAGTCCTCTCCGGCGCTTTGAGACCATTTTTTTGGGAGCTTTGAAACCATTTAGGTCGTTGTCCTGGTGTAAGACCCATGACCTCTAACGGAGACCCAACTTTCTGACACCGGGCTCTACATGACACTCCAGAATTGTTTGGTAGTCTTCAGATTTCATAATGCTGTGCACACGGTCAAGACATCCAGTGCCTGAAACGGCAAAGTAACCCCAAAATATCAGTGACCCCCCCCCCCCCCCCCCCCCACCATGTGCGATTGTAGGGACTGGATTCTTTTCTTTTAAAAAAAAATTGCTTTTTCTGAAAACAGTAGAATGATGGCTTTACCAAAAAGCTGTCATTTTGTTTCGTCTGTCCGCAGCACATTCTCCCAGAAGGATTTTGGCTTCCTCAGTAGGGTTTGGCAAACTGCAAACTGGCTTTTTATGTTTCTGTGTCAGCAGTGGGGTCCTCCTGGTCTCCTACCATAGCATCCCTTTAAATTCAGATGGTGACGTATAGTGCGAGCTGACTTAGTGGTACCTTGTACCCTGTGCCTGAGTGGACACCGGAACATGAAGATCTCTGGAGATGGACTTGTCACCTTGAGATGTCCATGCTTTTCCATAATTTGTGTCCTCCAATCCTCAGACAATTCTTTGCTGCTCTTTCTCTCCTCCATGCAGCACACAGAGACACCCAACAGGTCCATTTTAACTTTTTGCCAGTGTGATTTGTATGTTGTCGGCACCTGGTCATGGCTATGGGGGAGTTTAATTACAAATTACAGGAACATCACAAACTTGGAAAGCAATTATTTCTTACCATTTTGAGATGGTGCCAATAGTTTTGTTCATCCATTTTTGGGGGTTTTGCGTGGAATGTGTCAGATTTGGCTTTTTGTTTCTCCACTTTTTTGTGTCACCAATACAAACCAAAGAAATAAACATGAGAATGCCAAAACATTTGTAATTG